TTTTTTTTTTTTTTTTTTTTTTTTTTTTTTTGGGATGTTGGAAATCGGGTCCGGCGTCCCAATCTTGAACCCTTTCCAAAAAATAGACTTTAAAGCAGGCTCAAAGTTAAAGGTAGTTGTCTTAAAAGCACAAGAGTCTATGCTCTCAGTGTATCAACTGTTATATCTGTCTACTGTAATACAGTTGGGCTGAGTCAGTCACCAACCAGAAGGCTCCTGCCAGTTATCCAATTCAAATCCTGTGGATTTCCGGCAGACCTAACCCAAAATCTGTCCTAATTGTCCTATTGTGACTGGCTCCCAAGACCCAGAGATGAACAACTTCTCATTATCTCTCCAAAAATTCCTAGAGACAATCTGAAATCTCCCGTCTTGTGGAGGTCTGGTCCTGTGTACTGTCCCGAATGCAGCCTAATGCGGCTGCCTGTGTATCCTCTTGTGGTCCTGGATCTTTGTTAACCTGGTTGCCTTGCCAGCCAAGGTGAAAAGGTAAGTTTACCCTCTAAGTCGAGAAAAACAATCATGTCCTTGAGGCCCCAAGTTTTCTTCAGCCAGAGACGACTTTTCCCTGAAGTTTTACCAGGGTTGTGACCGTCAGCTCTGATGGCATGTCTAATTTTTGCCTTAACCATGTGAACCTGTTGCTGGAGGGGGGTCACCTCTCCTCTGAAGACTCTTGCATTTCTGGCCGTCCAGATGACTTCCATGAGAACTCCCCGACAAACCAATGCCACGTAACCCCAACCCGGGGAGCATGCCAGTCACCATCCAATTGTCAGTCCACTTGAAGGCATTCTCCGTAATAGGCCGCCAGTGTTTCTTCCACCATTCTACCAGTTCATTTGTCACAGGACAGCAAAGCCAGAGATGAGTGGAAGACTCCCACCCCCAGTTGCAGCGAAGGCAGATGGTGGGAATCTCCATTCCTCTAGAGGCTAACCATTGAGCAGAGGCAGTCACCATCAAAGATTGTAACCACATAATACTGGCCTGCTTCTCTGAAGGAACTTTCTTGAGGGCCTTCCACAGCTGTAGCATCCCTTTGTCTGAGCACTTTAGCAGAGCCGAGTTCTCAGTT